GGCCTGCTCCGAGCCAACCTCCTCCGGGGCCACCTCACCTGGGGGCCGGACGCCCGCGCTTTCGGACCCAGCCCGGCGCAGGGGCTCCCGGCCTTCCTGCCTGGGCGCCCGCTCTCCCGAGTCCTTGTCACCTGAAAGCCCGAGCTCACTCCGGCCCGGGGAGGGGTTGGCGGGAAGCGGGCGCCTCGAGAGTCCCCGCGGGGTCACCGGCGCTACCGCAGCGGCGGGGGCGGGAGTGCGGGGAGGGCGGAGGGGAGAAGGCACCCGGCCAGCCCCGGGGGGCTGGTTCGGAGCCGGGCGGTGCTGGCGCGCGCCGGTCCCGTGGACCGGGTGGCGGGAAGGAAGTCGGGCGAGGGGCGCGGAGCGCGCGGACCGGTCTCGAATCCACTCGGTGCAGAGCGGGCTGCCCAGGCTGTGCGTCAGTACTGCTCTGCGCGTCCGGAATAAAGCTAACCGGAGGGAACCAACACTTTAAAAGCCAGAAAAAGGAAAGGGAGAAACCGCCAGACCACAGCACTGGTGATAACTGGTATCTAGGTGGTGTCCCGCCAAACCCGAGAAGATCCACACGGATTAGGTGCATAATGCGTGCACCGCGGGGGAAAGGTCGAGGAGCCGCTTTTCTGGACAGAGGAAAATATGATAACCTAAATACTGTATAATGAGGTCACCCTTGGCTTTAACTGCCCATGAGGCCTCCCTTCCTCCAGCTCCTAAAGCATTCAGAGGGAGAAACTCACTTTGACACCTCAAGGGGTCTGCTATGTGTTAGGGTTATTTCTGCTTTAGCCTCCACATCCAGTTCCCGGGCCTAGTACAATTCCAGGTGCATAATAGTCACCAAAATTACTAAAAGAATTTTTGTGTGAATCATCTAATGTCATTTGTAATGTGAGGAGAAACATAAAAAATAAATTGTGGGATCCTATTGGAAAATGCTTAACTGGTTAAAACAGTGATGGCCTTATGAAGAGTCATAAATGTTTGCTGTAATTATAGATACAATTGCTATTAATCATATATATGTAGATAATAGGCTAAGGATTGCTTGCTAAGCGAGAGACAAAAATTATCTGGACCTTCATTAACCTAAAAGAATAGGTAAGGCTAAAGAGAATTGTAACAAGTAATTGTGCATCAGAAGTAAGACATTCTAATGCATCTTCCCCAAAGAGAACACTTTTAACATTTGCTTCTTTAATTTTCATTACAAATAAGTATTAGCAATTCAGTGGGTATGACTAAGTATGAAATATTCTGTGTTGATTTATTCATGTTTATAAAATCTTGAAGAATAGACACGCAAGGATATTCATCCCTCCCCCAAAAAAATAAAGCTAATGTCTGACCTTATTAAGCCCACTAGGGTGAGAGTCCAGCGGTTCCAAATGAGGAGACTGCCCTAGGATGACACCAAGCAAGCTCATAGTCTCTCTCTGGGGTATCCTAGATCAGTGTCTTGGGTCTGTGAACCTGCTCTTGGGAGCAGTATGCTTGCCCATGTGAGATAATTTATCTCTTCCATTTGGCATCTGGGAAAATGTAATTTTCTCTGTGATGAGCATGAGTGAATGGCTCATACATAGTGAATGGCTGTCCTCCAAATTATGAGACAAGAGTGTAAAATATGCATTTTAATATCGGAGTCCATTACTGCTCAGTGCCAGGGGAATGAATAGGACCTAGGATATTTATCTAGACACCCCCATCACATTTTTATCACATGGTGTTATTCTTCTGTGGATGAGGAAAAAGATGAGTTGCTATTTTTACCCCAAGGGGAGACTAGAAGAAAGGACTGACCTGAGCAGGGCTAAGTGAGTAGAAAATAACCACCCAGAACCATGGACTAGGGAAGTTACCAGGCCATTGTAGGACTGTTTTTTTGTTTGTTTGTTTTGTTTTTCTGGAGGAAAAATGTACCAGCATTTAAATTCTTATGGCTACATACCACAAGTTGTGCTTTGGTTGCTAGGCTAGGGTACCAACATCGGCCACAGTCTTACAGGACACAGGGCGAGGGAATTGCAGCATCGGAAAATGCCAGGCTTGCCTTGCTGGAGATACTTATACTGC